CCTTGCCTGCCAGCACCCCTATGTGGGTCCCACTACTGTGCCCTCAACTCACATGCCGCTAGGCCTGCCTACTCCCGCCGTTGTTGATTGCCCGCCATCTCCCATGATGGCTGCCCATGTCACTATCTACTGCTACTACACTCACACCCTCTCCGCTGCCTCCCATGTCTCTGCCTGTCCCTGCCTACTACTGTCGCGTTCGCCCATGCTGCTGCAACGATCCACCGTAGAGCCCTGGCTGAACCTGCCCCCTTAAAACCTTCAACTACATAATTCCTGCCCTCTGCCCATGAAGCCACATGCACCTGCTATGGCCCACCCTATCAAATCGCGTCACGTCCTGCTGCTGCTGCACTCTCACCCAATCTGCCTCCTGATGGTACTGTGCGACTTGACAACTGCTTCGGCTTCAAGAACTACCCTGGCCAGGATGACTGGCCGCTGGCGCCCTTGCTGCTCCGATCCAGACCCACCTTCTCCGTGTCACCACCCCTCACCCCTTTGCCTTCTGCTCCTCCACCTTACCCCTGGTCGTGTCCTTGCCATCCGTTTTCCTGCCAGTCTTCCCTTTCTTGTCCTTCCACTCCTCCTCGAACCCACTCTCATGGATGTACAGGCCGTGCTCCCCCACTTGAACCCCTTCATTTCCCTGTTGTACTCTCTTGGGTGCTCGTCAAACCACTCAATCACCACCTGGCGCACGAGCTTGCAAACGGCCTCGACCCAAGCCTTGTTTTTGGGGTGGGAGTTGGATAGGGCCATTGTCTGAGAGTTGACGCGCGCCAGCCCCTAGTTGACCTGTCATGGGCGGGGGGTTGGGAAAGGTAAAGGGAGGGGGGGGGGTTGGGGGGCATATGTAGGGGGAAACAATGTCATCACCAGCGGCAAACGTTCCATCAAGCACCCCATCATGGCCCATCCCACTGCCAGAAATCACCACCATGAGGATCCAGGCAACGTGGTACGCCTTCAAGCACAGCTTTGCGCCCTGTCGCCACTGCCCAAACCCCTCCACAGCCGCGTTGAAGAAGAGCAAGTTGGCAAAGGGCTGGCCGCTCTCCTCACCCTCAAGTGACTTGGCGTTGCCCCATGTGCTAACCACTTGGCCGAGCTCAGGGTCTGGGGGGGTTAGCATACGCGGGAGAGGGGTTTGGGGCCATTTCCAAGGGGCCATGCACACCATGGTTATAAGAGGCATGCATGGGCCGAAACAGCAAGTCACGTCACTCACCGGGCATCCAGGCCCCCCACCATTTCCTCTTGACCTTCAGGTCAAGGAGGATCTTGCAGGCGCAAGACCACTTCAGCTTCACTCCCAGCGTGGTGAGTATGAGGCGCTTGATGGCAAAGGCGCGCTCGTTCCTCCAGACTGTCCATACCCGTTTGAACGGCTTGTTGTAGTTCTCATTGTTGAGTGACTCCAGGATCTCCACAAGAGTCACGTCGTAGCCCAGTGACACTAGGCCGCGATGAAGCACGCGGCAACGGGTCTTGTGGTTTTCGTAGAAATCGATGACCGCGTCCGGGTTGTGGATGCATATTTCGTCTCGCATCGCCTCATAGTGGATCTGTGATGAAGGGTGGGAAGGGCCAAGTGGGAGAAGGGTGGGTGTGGGGCGGGGTAGAAAAGGGGGGTGTAGGGGAGGGGTCGAGGAGGACGAGCGGAAAAGGAGACAGTTGTGTGCAAGCCCCCCGCCACATCCAAGGCCATGGGCGAGCGTGCAGCAAAAGCCCTGAAAGCATGGGAGGGATGCCGACTTGTGGTGGGGACTTGAGTGTAACGTCGGCTGAGGGGTAGCGGGGCGCGGGGTGGGGGGAAGGGAAGGGGAATGCTAGGAGGTTTAAAATCGCGTAGGGATCGTCGGAACTTAGGGTCTTGTGGGGGTTCGAGAAATAACTCCCGGGTGGAGCGGTGAACTTAGGATGGAGACAAATAGACACGGACGGGGGTTTGGGAACGCGGTGGAATGGGGGGCTGGCAAACACATGCGGCGGTGGCTGGGGTGTGGACGGAGGGCTGGCAGGAGTCAGAACGAAGAGTCACAGCCACGGGTTTAGGCATTAGGCTGGCGACGAAGCACCGGGCAGCAACCGAGACGTGGTGTGTGCTGAGGGATCTGGTGGCTTGGCGGGCGAGTAGAGCGGGCGAGGAGGTGGGGCGGGGGGGGGGGGGTTCGGGGAAAGGTGGAAACGGAATTTTAGGGTGGGGTGGCAGTGGGAGGGTGGGGTTGGGATCCAAGTGGGGGACCCATCTAAAAATGTATAACGGCATCACACACGTGACTCACCGGGATGTTGCTCACGGAGGGCATGCCACGACGCCTCGTCCGGGGGCGGTTCCCCCCACGCTCTCTCCGACCGCCTCGTCGTGGTCACTAGATGCCGACGCCAAGCAGGGAAGGTGCTGCCCCCGCGCCCTCTTGAGCTGCAGAATCTCGATAGCCGCCTCGCGCAGAAGCCCGAACATGCGGGCGGCGGACAACTCGTGCGGCACCTCCTCCATGCGGGCCAAGGACTCCCAAGTGTAACCTCCACTGTTAATCTCGCCCCCAAGCATCCGTCTCCGTTTTGCCTCCACGTCGGCATGAACCCCGGCAGCGTCGTTCCCGGGTCGCTTCTGGCCAGCAGCATCCACTCCTTGGTCGGGGCCGCTCGCTCCACCCTCCCATCCATACTCACCCATCGCCGAGGCCCACATCCCGCCAGGTGCGGCTTGTGCTCGGCCCTCTGCTCATTGCTGCGGCATGCCCCATACTTGTGCCGCATCCATGCCCCCGCCCCCCCCTTGCCGCTCGTTCGGAGCGCCTCGGGTGTGAGAGTACGACCCCGTTACACCACTTGTCCTATTCTTATCTCCTTCCTATTTCATTCTTCTTTTTATCTCATCTCATTTGGTTTCCTATTCTCCATTCTTCCATTATCCTTTGGTTGATCCTGCTATTATAATTATATCACCGACCAGGCTTGGGATGTACTGGCACATTATCCAGCGTAATCCTGCCGTAATCCCTTAAAGCCAATGGCCTCGCGTGGCTATACGCAGGGTGATTCTATATTCTAGAAGGGTCTATTCCTTTGGATAGGATAAACCTGGTTACCTGATGTACTCTGGAAGTATAAAATCACCTTGTACTGATCGATAGTGCAATCGATCCTCGAGTCATTCGATCCTGTGACACTTGGTAATCAGAGCTTTTCTCACTCGGCTGCGCTCAACAAAGCAGCAGCAGCGGGAAAACCTGCCTCGAAAAACCGCCGGGGGCGACGAATTCGACGCCGATTCTGGTAAGCACCAGCTCCGCGTTTTGTGAATTCCCCCTCCCGCGCGTGTTTTGAACAGGATGGCAACCTTCGACAACGCCGAGGTTACCCAGCAACTCTTCGCGCGCATCGCCGCTCTTCAGGAGGAGCTGCGAGCAGATCGCGAAGCGTGGCAAAACGAGTTCGAGCGAGTAACTCGACTCGCCGGAGCGCAGCACGAGACGGCAACGGCGACGACGCAGCAGTCGCAGCAGTTTCTCGAGGCTCCGAAACCGCGCCCACCTGAGCCGTTCGATCCGAGCGATCGAAACTCTGACGCCCGCTGATGGATCGCCGGGATGGAGATCTACTTCGCAGCCGTCGGGTGGAGCTCGCCAGTCTGGGACGGTCAACGCGTACGACTCGCGGCGACACTGATGCGAGGGCCGGCACTCGAGTGGATTGGCGGCAACAGCACCTTCATCCACGGTGAAGCCACGTGGCAGCAGTTCCGCGTCGACCTGCTGAAACGATTCGAGCCGATAAATTCAGGTTTCCTTGCCCGCGAAAAAATTCATCGCCATCGACAGTTCGGGAGTGTAGCACAGTACACGCAGCAGATGGAAGAATTTTATAACCGAATTCCCGACCTGACCGAAGGGGAAAAAGTGCAATCGTACCTCGCAGGGCTGAAGACCGAAGTCAAACGACAGGTGGCAGCGTCAAACTACGCGAGCTACAGTGACGTCGTTTCGGCCGCGGAGCGCTTCGACATGGTCAACGCCGGAACACGACGGACGCACGTCGGCAGTACGCAACAAGGCGACCGCTCGACTCACACCACGTTCGCCGACCCGATGGAGATCGACAAATTCGACGGGCGGCCACGTCTGAAAAACACCAACTACACGTGTGATTTTTGCGGGGTGCCGGGCCACCGAATCTTCGACTGCAACAAAATGAAGGCCGCACGCGCAGAGTATCGGGCATGCAACAGTGGCGGAAATCTTTCGGCCAATCAGAAGACAAAAAACGGGAGTCGCCAGTGATAGCGGATCTAGCTGGCGAAAAAGAAAAGATCCGGAAACGGCCGCGGGATTCCGGGAAAATCTACATCGACGAAGCTGATTCGACGCGAGCAGGAGGAAATGATGGGGGAAAATCTCCACCCCACGACCAGTCTTCGCCAGAGAAAATCGCCGAGGAAAAATAAGACTCCGCGAAAAAAGACTCTGCCGAAACGGGGAAACTCCTTGAAGACCCAAGAAATTATAAGAATTCGTTAAAGCTATCATATAAAGATGCTTTAATGAAAACTTATGATTTTCGAGGGGCTAGAGCCTTGGAGAAAATACGGGAGGGACTCCAAAAGAAGCAGAAAGCTGTGGAGATCATACCGGTACCGGACAACATGGGGAAAAAATTAAGGAGTGTGGAAAGAAGCCGACCTTTCCACGGAGTCAACGTCCTCTCCCGACTCCAGCCCACATCGACTACCCGTTCCCCAGGGAAGACGTCAGTGGAGCTGAAGCAGCTTAAAAGGAAGCTGGGGGTCTACAAGAAGCTGCAAAAACCCCGAACTCCTTCTCCGGATGCATCCAGTTCTTCGGCATCAATGACGCGGACAGTCGTCAAAGAAACTCCGGGCCCTGGAGAAGAGCCGTTCTCCAAGCAGCCTCAGCCAGCTGCTAGCTCAGGAGTAGATAGGAACGAAAAGGTGTGTACGGATTATTGGGATGTACCCTATGACCCCATTAATGAAACTATCTTTGGGTACTCCGAGCAACGCCCGCCTCTCGTGCTCGAGGTCATCTGCAAAGGACGACGCCTCCAAGCACTCGTGGACAGCGGAGCATCTCACACCGTCTGTGACAAGGCAGCAATCGACTGACTTCGGGAAGAGTACAAGCCTTCAGGATTCTCTGCAACGATGGTGGATGGCAGCAAGCTACCAGTACACGGCGAAGCAGTGTTACACCTACAAATTGGACCACTACGCTGGAGACCTGCACTCCCCATCACCAACATCAAAGGGCTTGACCTGATTTTCGGGCGAGACTTCCTGAAAAGATTCAACCCCGAAATCAACTGGGTGAACCGCACTGCAAGCATCTACAACAATGGAAGGAGAGTTCAGCTACCAAACTGGGACGATACAGGAGATATCCCAGTGGAGACACTCGCACGATTCGAGAAGGACGTGAAGCGAACCGACACCGGGTTCCTGGCGTTAGCAACAGAGGTGGAAACCGACGGAGAGAAGACCTCGGAACCTCCAGGAGAAATCAAGAAATTGCTGAAGGAATTCCAAGACATTCTTCCTGATGATCTACCGAACGAGCTACCGCCATACCGCACGCATCAACACGAAATCATAGAGGAACCAGGTTCGAAGCCGACCTTCCGAGCACCATATCGACTCAGCCCTACGGAGCTGACCGACATGAAGAAGCAGATCGAGTATCTCCTAGCCAAAGGACTCATCCGACCATCTACTTCACCATACGGTGCCCCAGTACTCTTCACCCCGAAACCGGACGGAAGCCTGCGCATGTGCATCGACTACCGAGCTCTTAACAAGCAGACCATCAAGAACAAGTATCCGATACCACGAATCGATGACCTGCTTGACCAGCTTCGGGGAGCTACGGTATTTTCCAAACTGGATCTGCGGTCCGGATACTGGCAGATACGGATGGCGGACAACTCTATCTACAAAACTGCTTTCCGAACTCGGTACGGATCGTACGAGTATTTGGTCATGCCGTTCGGACTCACCAACGCACCAGCGGCGTTCCAAGCAGAAATGAACCACATCCTACGCCCACTCTTGGACGAATGCGTGGTGGTGTACCTGGACGACATCCTCATCTACTCGCGCGACATGAAGCAGCACGTCGAACACCTGCGACGCGTCTTCGAAATTCTTCGACGGGAACGTTTCTACGTCAAACTGTCCAAGAGCGAATTCACCCTGGAGAAGGTCCAATTTCTAGGACACATGGTGAGCGCTCAAGGAGTTCACGTCGACCCCAAGAAAATCGAAGCCGTACGTACGTGGAAGACACCCAAGAACGTGAAGGAGTTGCAGCAGTTCCTAGGCTTCGCTAATTACTACAACAGGTTCGTGCCACAGTATGCGAAACTCGCGGCACCACTCACGAATCTGCTGAAGAAGAACACGCCCTACAAATGGGAGACGAAGCACCAAGAAGCCGTGGAGCAACTGAAACAAGCACTGACATCCGCACCGGTGCTCATCTTGCCAGATCCCGAACGTGACTACGTCATTGAAGCAGACGCCAGTGATCAGGCCGTGGGAGCAGTCTTGATGCAAGACCAGGGGAATGGACTGCAACCAATTGCCTACCTCAGCAAGAAACTGCACGGGGCAGAACTCAACTACCCGATACACGACAAAGAGGCTCTTGCTATTGTCATCGCCTTCAAAGCATGGAGATGTTATCTCGAAGGACGTCAAACAACAGTCTACACCGACCACTGCAGTCTGAAATATCTGAAGACACAACCAACCCTTTCCAGGCGGCAGGTCCGGTGGATTGACTTCCTCGAGACACACTTCCACTACGACATCGTGTACAAGCCCGGCCACAAAAACAAAGCAGACGCCCTCAGCCGGCCTGCACACGTTGCCGCTATTCAGGCCGAAGGGATGAATCCACTACTCAAGGGACTCTTCACACACGGGTATACCATCGACCCCGAAATTCCCTTGGCAGAAAAATGACATCTACTACAGTGGGGCAATGACATTGCGTACCGGAAAGGATCAACGAAAATCTGGGTACCCAATTACCCTCCTTTGCGCCAGTTACTACTCGAAGAATACCACGACGTCCTCTACGCCGGACACTTCGGTAGCAACAAGACGCTGACCGGTATCGCAAAACACTACTACTGGCCTCACTTGGCAGATGATGTTCAGAACTTTGTCACCTCGTGTGATACATGTCAACGGATGAAGAGCAGTAAGCAGAAGAAAGCAGGACTGCTACAGCCTCTTCCTGTCCCAGAACAGCCATGGCAAGTGGTTAGCCTGGATTTCATCACCGGGTTACCACCTACCACTAGCGGTCATGACGCAATTCTTGTCGTCATCGACAAATTCTCTAAGATGGGACACTTCATCCCGACACACACGACGGCACGCACCGAGGAGACAGCACAACTCTTCGTTCGCTACATCATCTCACAGCATGGCATTCCAACTACACTCATCTCCGACCGAGGCCCCAAGTTCACCAGCAAGTTCTGGAAGGAACTCATGTCTCTGCTTGGCACCAAACTCGCCATGTCATCCGCATACCATCCGCAGACAGACGGACAGACCGAGCGCCTTAACCAGATTGTGGAGCAACTCCTCCGAGCAGCCTGCAAGGACGAGATCTCCAAATGGGACTTGCACCTGCCCGTTCTGGAGTTTGCTTACAACAACGCCACACATGCTGCTATTGGACAGACGCCGTTCTTCCTCTGCTACGGACGCCACTCACTCACACCACAAAAACCGACAGCATCCGCTACAGTCCAACATGCACATGATTTCATCACAACCATGCATCAGCTACCTGGAAGATTCACAACGCCTTCCATGTCCAACTTCTGAAGCCCTATCGGGATCCTAACACGATCTTCGTGGGACGCCAGCCGCCGCCGCCGCCGCCCGTCCTCGTCCAGAACGAACCCGAGTACGAGGTCGAGTCCGTGCTTGCACATCGTCGACGTCGGAATGGCACCGTGGAGCTTCTTATTCGTTGGAAGGGCTATGATCCTTCTGAGGACAGCTGGGTCTCTGAAACCGACATGGGTAACGCCCGTCGTCCTCTGCATGACTACCTTGTCAAGCAGGGTGTTACTTCTACCACCCAGCTTTGAGGGGGGGACGTGTGAGAGTACGACCCCGTTACACCACTTGTCCTATTCTTATCTCCTTCCTATTTCATTCTTCTTTTTATCTCATCTCATTTGGTTTCCTATTCTCCATTCTTCCATTATCCTTTGGTTGATCCTGCTATTATAATTATATCACCGACCAGGCTTGGGATGTACTGGCACATTATCCAGCGTAATCCTGCCGTAATCCCTTAAAGCCAATGGCCTCGCGTGGCTATACGCAGGGTGATTCTATATTCTAGAAGGGTCTATTCCTTTGGATAGGATAAACCTGGTTACCTGATGTACTCTGGAAGTATAAAAGCACCTTGTACTGATCGATAGTGCAATCGATACTCGAGTCATTCGATCCTGTGACATCGGGCATCTAGGGCAGCGGGGGGGAGCGGCGTGAACGAAGCGGCGCCGCTGAGGGTGTTGTCACCATCACGTAATGTGGTCGGCGTGTTGCGGCCGTTGTCAAATTCCCTGTCTCCGCCAGTGAGCCAAGGCCGCCACACGTGTGCAGGCACTGCCTCCTGGGACGTTTGCTCAAACCGCAACTCCCGCCCAGTGGCATAGGTGGACTTCTTTTCTCTTTCAGCACCGCCATCAGCCTCCACCGTAGCCTCCTTCTTCACACCCCTCCTGTCCAGCTCCCCGTCTTCCTCTTCCGCCGACGCCCTGTCGGTTGCATACGCCGAAAACTTGGTGTCACGGTAATCTGTCCGCCGAATGAGCACCGGACCTTCAGACGCAGAGCCGCTCTCGAAATTGTCGCTGCCAGCCGGGTACAGAGCATACACATGCTTGGCGGGCCTGTCCCTAGGCCATCCGCCCTCCCCTCCTCTCCCTTGCTTCCTCATGTCGCCACGCCTTGCTTCCGTCGGCTCCCCCCTTTCTTCCTCTTGCCATTACTCCCCCTCCCCTTTTCCTTCCCACCCTTGTGCCGCCCGACGCAGCAGTCCCTGCCGCGGTTTTTGCCGCGCTTGCGGCCGCCATCAGACTCGCTCTCGAGCGACTCCGGCTCGCTACTTTCGGCGCTCCGACCGTCGTAGTTGGACTCTGACGCCGAGGACTCGCCCGAGTCGGAGTCGCTGGAAGAGGACGCCGAGCCTGATTCCTCAGGGGAGTCTTCGCGCTTCTTCGGTTTCTTCTCGCGGTCGCGGCCTCTATCGCGGCGTTCATGTGATGGGGCAATGGCGTCGCTCTTCGCTCGACAGGTGTCTCCATCGCGACGCTCCCATTCACCGTCCTTGTCCTTGTGGGACGGTTTTTGTGGGCTGGTCATGGCGGCCACGGTCGCGCGGCCTTCCACACGAGCAGGAGTCTTCAGGACGGGGGTCGCAGCCGCGGCCTGCGAGGGCTTCGCACGATCCGACTCCGCCACCTTACTTGCGACAGTTTCACCCTGAGGGAACTCATCTTGCGACGGCGGCATGGCACTACCAGGGGACTCCACGACGACCATCGCCACGTCCTCAATTGCCGGAGGCGCGTCTGCTGCGGTCGCGGGTGGACACTCGACGGACTTTGCGGCGCTCATCACGACGCGGTTCCGCGTCGGTGCGGCAGCTGTGGGAATCTGAGCGGCGCTCGCGTCCAGCTTCGCGGGAGGGGTGCCGCCCTCCGGGGCTGCCACCACCTTTGCTGCCTTTGTAGTCTCCTTTGATACCGCTGCATCCTCCACTGCTACCGCTGGATCCTTGTCTGCTACCGCTGCATTCTCCTCTGCTACCGCTGCATCCTCCTCTGCTACCGCTGCAGCCTCCTCTACTGCTGCTGTAGTGGCCTTCGCTGCGTTTCTATCGACCCTTTCCCTTGCGGCCCATTTTGTTTTCGTCTCTGCCTTGGACTTCTTTGGGGCCTGAGGCAGTCCATCGTTTCCTGCAGGTGTGCCAGACAAGGCGCAATGTCAGGCAATGGCAAATACGAAGCTTAAAAAAAACTGCCAGCTGGCGGGTGGAGCATCAAACACAACTAGCTCACCGGGGGTGCCGACAAGATCACCGATCGGTTTCTTCCGCTGACCCGACCTCTTCACTGGGCTACAAAGCCCGCCCGGAGCGACGTCCCCGTAAGGGTCCTCCAGGGCCTGATTGTCGCCATCCGGCTCGGAAGAGTTGGCGTCACTTTCCCGCCCGTCGCCCTTCTTCACCGAAAGCTTGTTCGATTTCCGGTATTCACGGACCGCTTCCGCAGTTTCCTCTCTAGTTAACTTCCATTGTTTCCCCCTCCGTTTACCCCTGGCAGGCACCTCGTCTGAGCCGGTGTCGTAGTCCTTTAGATCTACGCGCTCCTTGCGCCGCCTATCTCCGCGTCTGATTTCATCGCGGGTCATGGCTACTGGTGTAGGGGAAAATGAACGCACTCACAAGCCCTCTACCGGAGAGTCTACTAATGCGCTAACGTGATGTCAAATTGAAAATTGAAAATGCGCATAACCCAACGCCACATTTCCGGGACGTTCGGATAGGGTGAGGGGAGGAGAAGGGGTGACCTGCTATAGTGATGAGTTCAGAGCATCAAAAAGCCCCCAGAATCCTCTTGTACCCATTGTTTGGCGAGAGCGCCGCGAAACCCTAGGATTGCATATCGAATGGTGCACAATCTGTTTCCTCGATCTGCCCGAACATGTCTGATTGGTGGGGGGAAACGAACACTGCATGACGTGCGAGAGTAAATTGTTACGTGCGAGAGTAAATTGTGACCGATGTGGTCATGCCCCGTAACAGCATTGTATACAGCAGCCGCTATGCCAAGAAACTGCTTAACCATTGCTAAATCGACCAAGGGTAGAAAAATTACCACACGGATGCATTAACTAGGAGCCCAAATATTCCCCAAGCAAGGGTACATGAGATGTCATTGATTTATAAAATTCGCCAAAGAGTGGTTCCCCACAGTGGTGTGCATTGAACATGAAGCGATCCAATGTGGTCTCTAGGATGTTCAGGACTGAACTTCAGTTGTGCGCTTTGCGGTAGCGGTTATTTGGTCTTGTGAACCCTGTAATCGTGAACGTAACATAACATTGTTGATTGTAGCACGATAATACATGGTTCATCTAGTGAAACAAGTGAATGCAAAGGGTCTGATTCAGATGGACTTTCCAGGGGTTCATTCCCTATGCACCTCGCATCATAGGATCAAAATCGACAAAGTTTAAGGCTCGAGAGTCACTTACAGGCATGTATCAATTCCGTTTACCGTAACACTCCCCTTATTTGCTGAAGTTGCTCGAGCTTGGCGCGCTTGGACACTCCACAGTGCTCGACGCAATGCATGCATTTTGATGTGCCAACTGTTTGGCGAGGAAGTGAGTTGCAATCTCATCAGTGGAACAATACGTCAGGTCCACTTTCCCCTTGTGGGTTTCGTTTTTTACGCAAAAGTATTGCAGGGCGATGTGCACGGTGCGATTGACGAAGCCGGGTTTGTTGGCGATATTGATTGCACTCTACTTGTCGCAGTGTCACTTGAATGTTGGCAAAGTGCTGAGCTTCGCTTCCTGCAGCAGTTCCTGTAGGTGGGATCCTTTGTGGGAGCCACTGAGACTGTTCGCATAGAGATCTCTGGAGACCATCCGAAGGGGAATGGAAGGAAGGAAGAGTTAATGGTGAGTGAAAGCAACGAAGTGTTACCAAATCAGGGATGAGAATGGGTGCAAGGAACCATTACCCGAGGTTAGAGCAGTCAACTCCTGTTTCTGTGAGATCCAGGAGATGCGTCTAGTAGGCTCTCGTCGAAGAGGAACCCCGTGCAAAAACGGCGGTTAGCGGGGTCTGCGCCGTCATCTGCGTCGACGTACCCAGCGCTTTCGAATGTGGGTGTGGTGACAGTGGAGTATGTGAGGCCGATGTGAGGAGTCGAGATGAAAAAGAGAAGAGGTCGCTGTAGATCTGGGGGGTTCTCCAACCTAAGGTTGCCAAGAATGTTGGGCGAGCTGGCTGCCGATGTCAGAAAGTTCGAGTCAGCACGTGACGGGCGATGAGCAGCAAACATCCGCGCTACTGCTGGTAGAGTAGATGGGCTGCAGGTGCGAGTGTTTAGGTGTCGGGCTTGTAGCCAGTTACGGGAGTGCGGTGGGGTGTGGAGAGCGGACCCATTGCTATGTTGAACCTCTTCGCGAGAGTCTAGGCATACTTTGAGGCAGAGAGATAGATGGCTTGTGGCGTGTAGGAGATGGTGGTGTCAACGCGCTACCCTAGGCTATGCTCAAAGTGATTGAGCAGGTCAGAGTTTGTGTCGTTGTAGAATAGGTTGTTGACGTAGACAGTGTGGAGGATGGAGTCTATGCGGAAGTGGAGGCAGTACATCCCGGGCCTGAGAGGTTGCTCGATGTGACGGCATGCTGCGACAGCGTGAAGGATGTGCACGCAAGTGTGGAGGCTGACAGGCGCGAAGGTAAGGTCGACGTCGATGCCCTGACGTTGGTCGTAGCCGCGTAAGACCCATCGATCCTTGCAACGCTCGACGTTCCCTTGGGCTTCTGTTTTGAGGCAAGAGTCTAATTTGCGATAGAGGATATTCCTACCCTTTACTGCATTGCAGTCGACTATGAGACAGGTGTTGGGGTCGCGTAGTGTGGCTATTTTGGCGTCCATAGCATTGCGCCATTCAGCGCGGTGTGGACCGGTGAGGGCCTGCCGTGGTGTCACTGGCTCGATCACGTAGGGATTCCTGTGGACGCTGACTGCCCAGACGTAGCGGGAGGCGGCGTCAATGAAGGTGAGGGTGTAACGCTCCTCGTACAGTCCTAGTTGGGGTGTACTCTCCAGTTGGGGTTGAAAACCATGTGAGTGTGTTGTTCGCATGGGTATGGTTGCCCCGTTTCCTTCATGCAGTCAGGAGCCACATAGGCAAGGACGCGTTCCAAGCATTCTATTGAGTCGTGGGTAGTTACTATGGTTTCCAGGGAGGACCAATTAAAGCTCCATAAAAGCGGTGGTTTGAATCCTTTGCCTGTGCCACTCTTCCTTCATGGTGTAGGGAGCCCAAGACCCACGCTATGCTCCCCGGGACGCCCCTGGACCTAGTTTGGGCAGCAAAGGGCAACGATTGCCGGCGCAGCCATCATTGAGGCGCTTGCACACAGGGTGAATCGTTGCAACTGGGTGTGCAAACACAAGATAAGGCAGATGCATCGCCCTTGCATATCTCACACTGAGCTTTTAAGGTGACGGGGGGATATGGGAAGGCCAGTTGTTCACATCCACCAAGGGCTGGCAGTAACGATTACCTGTCGTGTGCGCAACCTTGGTCTGCACTGGACCTTTTCGATCTATTTAGCGATAAGACTGAAGTATTATATGATGTTAATGGTTGCCGTGTATCGTGTTCTTCAACCGTCGGCCCCAATTTGGTGTATCGAAAGACCTCTACAATCTCGGATGTGATGTACGTTTGGACAGCTCAGCGCAGGGTCGGGCACATGCACGACCATCGAACACTGCCTGATACGGCAAAACCAGTGGTGGAGTCGTCGTCCCACCTGTGGCCCAGCTCTAATCGCCGAAGGTATCCTCGTGC